AGCAATACAACCTGAGGGGACTGCAGCTAAATTTACTTCTGAGGAAATTAGTATTTGTGTTTTACCTCACATGAATGTGGCCGAGTAATGTCTGTCTAGTTATCAAATGGATCCATTTTATAAACAGGTTCTAAATTAGACCACCCAATATCACCAATTTTACTGTTTGGCTTAAAATCCTGCTAGCTAATTTCCCCCTACTTGTTAGTTGGACTAAGTATGATAATAAATTGAAACTGCAATGAAAAATATGAAAGGACTTTGAATCTGGAAATGCAGACAGAATATTGAGACATGTATTCTGCACACAAGGACAATCATGGTCACCATGGTCACCATGCCTTAAATGTGCATATTCTGCTGTACAGGTAGGAAAGAGATTGTTCTGCTGTACTGCTCATTCTTTCAATAGATTAAAAGACGAAAGAAGCAATGACAAAATACAGGATGGATGTAGGCCACTTCTGAAACTTGCCTGGACTTTCTATATAATTGTATGAATGCATCTATTTTTTAAAGAAGCTTTGGAGAACAAAACATCAAAATGATTTGATAAGAAGAGCCAATCAGCTGCAACTCTAGGTTTTCATAACTATTAGAACTTTTTTTAAAAAAATGCTGTAGGGGTAAACAAATTTAAAAGAGGCAGTTTTGGGCTACTGTGGATACAAATACTAGATTACATGACCTTTTAGCCTGATTCAACAAAGTGGTTGCCTGCCTCCAATTTTGGAGCACTGAAGAACAAAGAACTGAAAGCTAATTTTGCCATCATTGTGTTAAAATACTGGAGTGTGAATCCCAAAAGATAGGTGATGTGTTTAAAAAGGTATTCTTGAAATTGAGAACATGATGCAGACTCTGGTACAAAGGTTGCCATCCTAACTTTGTTAAATTACATTTTGAGATAGGGTGTAATGCTGCAGTGATACAGCCCTCTGGTGGTGTGTATTTAGCCAGGTTTTTTTCAGTTTTATCTGAATTTTATGAGAACCAATCAATTCTTAGGAGTGCATTGAAATAAGAGTCTTATTAATATAGACGGGGAAACAGATGCCCTCAAAGGAGGACTTTCATCAAGAATCTAAAATGTTAAGAAGGATCAATATTTTTCATTCAGATATCAATATATGACAATATTTTCAATATATGACCATCAATATTTAGTATTTCAGATTCCCCCAATTATTTGACTCTTGGATGCAATAGAAAATAAGAGGGAAAGAAATTAAACTTGCATGGGAGCTAATGGGAAGAACATTCTCTTTCTGTAGATTTCGCCGAACCAGTAGGAACTTGGCGGCCTGGGTCGCTGGAACCGGCAACGACCAAGGCCTGCCATGCCCTCGAATTGGTTTTCCTGTGCGGCACATCCCTGTGCGAACCAGCAGTAGTCTCTGCCAGAACCCACCACTGATGTTTGTGTGTTTATAAACATTTTGTCTCTGACCTTTCATAGTAAAATAAATCAGAAATGCTTCCTAGGGATCATAAAGGTGTCTTCTTTTCCATAATTCTTTAGGGTGTCTATGGAGATTCTCAGTGATCCAGGTCATGGTTATCCCAAAGGTGATTTTTCAGGAGGCAACTGGACTTTCTGGTTTTTCTTTGAAGACATTTCACTTCTCATCCAAGCTTGTTGGATGAGAAAAAAAATGTCTTCCAAGAAAAACCAGAAAGTCCAGTTGCCTCTTGAAAAAGCACTTTGGGGGTTATATAATATTACTAATCGGACAATTGGCTTTACCATCTAGAATCATACATCTGCACTATACTATACATGGGGCAAGTTGTCATGACATGGAAGGGTAGATGGGGTGGCTTAATGGATATTGTTCTGAGAGTTAGTTTCTCTCTAGAGACTTGATCTGGGACCTTTCAAATTTGACTCTGTTGAAGTGTTAGACCTGGTTGTTTCTATCATTTTACATGATAAATCTGACTGTAGAATTAACAAGGTCATTTTACAGCAATTATAGAAAAGAAGGTTCCTCTGTGTTCACTGGGAAACATTTGGGACATCTTTTATTCTGAAAGCTTAGATGCAAAAAGTTCTTTCCAACATACTCATACATTTATGCTTGCATACTTTGCTTAGGTACTGGGTTAAGTGACTTTTATACAAAAGTCACTTAATCCAGGATCATTTAGGAGAGATGGGCAGCATAGAAATTTGATGAGTGCATAAACAAATGCCCATTAATAAATACAAGCATAACCACAAGATGGATTATTTCCTAAGGAAACTGTATTCAAATAGGGATTGAGGCATTCTATTTTCTCATCAAATTCATGTTGGAGGCAGAAAGAGAGAATGAGTCTGGATGGAATACACTGAAAACTAATGGAAACGTGAAGCAAAGCATTACTCAGTGTACACCATAAGCCCATATTTGATTGACTTCTTGCCATCAAATCAGTGTCAACTGTTAATGACCACATAAATAGATTTTCTCCATGACAACCAGGTCCTTTAGAGCCGAGGTGGTGCAGTGGTTAGGGTGCAATACTGCAGGCCACTTCAGCTGACTTTTATCTGCAGTTCAGCGGTTCTAATCTCACCGGCTCAAGGTTGACTCAGCCTTCCATCCTTCCGAGGTGGGTGAAATGAGGACCCAGACTGTGGGGGCGATATGCTGACTCTGTAAACCGCTTAGAGAGGGATGAAAGCCCTATGAAGCGGTATATAAGTCTAACTGCTATTGCTATTGCTATTGCTATTCCAACAGTACAATCATCACCTTTGTAACTGAATCAATTCATCTTGCCTTGCCGCTGGTTGTCCTCTTCTTCCTTTCAACTTTCCAGGCCTTCTTCAGAGATCTAGATTTTCATATAATCTGTCCAAAGTAGGGTAATTTGAGTCACTTTTGCCTCAAGTGAGAACACATTTTATTATTTGGATACAGCCCAAGAGTATTTAAAATTAATTGAATTCATGAAAGATTTTCAGATTAACAAAATGATTTGAGCTCTAGTTGCCTCTGGAACTTCAAGTAGAATCTGCATGTTCTACATGCATTCCCCCTGACAAATCAAGGGAACAGGGAATGACATTAGGGTAATTTTAATAATCTTTTCACAACACAAAATAATTTCCCTAAAGTCAGGATTACTCCCACTCTTTTGCACTTTAGGAAACTAGTGAAGAGCTCTTTAGAGCATTTGGGCAGGAAAATAAATAGCAACACACATTTCCTTCATGTTAGGTTGTCTTTATAGATGACTTTGGCTTTAAGTATTGTAAACCATCTAGAATTGCAGAAATAGCTGGTATACAGATGTTGTTAATAAACGAGTAATAAATGAATAAAAGAGAAGATTTGGAACAAATGATAATAAAAAATCATAGTATTTCTATAGAATCTGACTCTCAAAAAGAAGGCAAATGTTACTTTATAGCAGTGGTTCTCATCCTGTGGTCCACAGTCCACTGGGGGGGGGGGGGCATGAGGTCATCACAGGGAGTCTGTGGAGGCTTGAAGAAATGTTATGATATAAATCTTGGGTTAAATCTTGTGGGTCCCTGGCCATGAACTGTCACCACAGAAAATATTTAAAGGGAGCCTGTGGTGAAGAAAAGGTTGGGAACCACTGCTCTATAGTAAATATCAAAAGGCAAAATAGTAATCTTACTATCATGCTTTAATATTAACAGCATTCAAATATTGGACAAATCATTGTTATATGACATCCTTGGTGCTATCTGAGTTTAGTTGATTTGTTGCTGTTGTTAGTTTGTGGCTGCCTTTAATTTCTAGGGAAGCAAATAGATTCTCCTTTGTATGTGGGAGAGGGGAGACTTACATTGGAGCTGGATTCTCTTAGCTTCTAAAATGGAATTAACCCTATAGTGTTCTAATATTATGAAGAGCCAGATTGTTGGTGGTGGGCCAACAACTGCTTAGATACAGGTGTGAAGCACTGTGAAGTATATAAGTCTAAGTCAGTGTTTCTCAACCTTGGCAACTTGAAGATGTCCGGACTTCAACTCCCAGAATTCCACAGCCAGAATTTTGGGAATTGAAGTCCGGACATCTTTAAGTTGCCAAGGTTGAGAAACACTGGTCTAAGTGCTATTGCAATTGCTATTATCTTCCCCAAAATTGTGGGATTCCATGCCCCCAGCTTGTATCAATCACACTACTGAATTTCAGTGATAGTGGATTTGCTTACCTTTAAGCTTGTGTACCTCCCAGCCACTGAGCTCATGGGATGATTTTGAGCCATTCACTCTCAGTCCTACCTCTGATGATAAAATGAGAATATATCACTTTATACATTACTCAAGTTTACTGCAGTCCTGGACTATTTGAAAAATAGAGGCTTCTTTCTCTGGAATAGCATAAGAACTTCTGACGTGTGACTATTGGGGGGGGGGGACAACACCATAAGAACTACTATCATGATAATGTAGGTGCTAAAGATGCTCTTAAATAAAAGTGTGCTTTTTAAGTTTTAAATATCGTTTTGTCACTAGGATTCTGTTTCTAAAACCAGGCCAAGGCAACATTACTCCACTCATTAGTTAACTGTGTTACTCTCAGTCAAAATGCCCCGTGATAGACAAAATAGAACAAAAACCCAGTGGAATGTTTGGGACTCATCTTGTAAAGCCACATGCCTTTTGTGTTCTGCACCTCTCTCGCTTTCTAATCAATTCAGCAAAAACTATACAGCTCTCTCCCTTTGCTTCCCCCAGCGTCACGTGCAATTGAAAAAATCTGGTGGGGAAGAAAGCAAAAAGTGCTGACAGAATTTAAAACCACCACTATCGAGAACCAGAAGGCAGGGTGGTCTAATTTTTGTTTTGTTTCTCTTGCAGTGAGCTTAGGAGTCGTAGAATCTTAGACTGAGCTTTTATTTGGGGTTTCACCGGAGAACTGAGTCTACCCAGGGTTCAAACACATTTGAAGTGGAAAGATCCAGTTTTACGCTTCAAACTGGAAAGACACAGACAAGGGAGATCCCTGGGCTCCCCCACGGCTCCCTACTCTGCCATGTATAGGAGCAGCTACTTGCATGCAGTCCACAAGGAGAAGTATGAACAATCTGAGGCTTATGAAGAACTTCCAGAATCACCAGAATTTGGTGGTCTTGCACAAACCCAAGGCCTGGAAAACCTGCAGGACCTTAGTGAACGGTTTGCAAACTACATCAACAGGGCTCGGGTGCTTGAGCAGCGTAATTCCATCTTCCGCAAGCAGCTTGAGACGTTCCAACGCATGGATGAGCTGGTTGGATTAGAAGATGCTTTTGCTGCTCAGATTGATCTCAATCACCAGCGGGTCCGTGACCTGGCCACCAACAGGTCTAAGCTGGAACGTGAGAAGAAAGATGCTCAGCGCATGCTGGATGAATACTGTAACAAGTAAGTTGGTTGGAAATGAAGGAGATGTTTTCATTACGGCAGATGTATGCATAGAGTTTCATGGTTCTTCAAAACTGTGTCATCTACCTTTGGCTTTTTCTAAATTCAGGTGTAAACGATCTTTTTTGTGGCTTTGGGTAAGAAATCCTACAAAAGCAAAACAAAGATCCTAGGACCTTGGCTTGTGAAAATGAAAAGAAATAAGGGCCTTCATGTCATTTTAGGTCATTTTTTTCCAGTGGCAGTGATAGCCCTCACTATCTGCACTGATGTGCTCAAAGAGAATATTAGCAGTCAAAACTCCAGGGCGCATCTATTCAATTTTTCCTTCATGAAGGCACAGTGAGGAGAAAGTTAGAATAATTAAGTGTGAAATACAGTGTCATCTGGATGCTCTATAAAGTTCCATAAATAGATACATTATAGTAGTGGTGCAGAAAGGGAAAAAAAAATATCTGGATGGATTTTAGGTTACTGAGCTAGTCTAATGAATTTGTGTCAGGAACTGAAAGTTGCTACTTTGAGAATAAATTACGTATTTGTGTAGAAAATACTTAATTGGGAAATATTTCTCAATTTGGAAAAAATGCTGAAAGGGGATATGAAATGCAATACATTAACCAATCAATAGCTTTTACAGATTGTGATCACCTCCAATGCTTTATGGAGTGTTTTGAATGCATGGAGTAACATTGGCTGAATAGTTGCAATTATTATTCTTTTACTATTTATGCAAATTATAAATGACTTTTCTATCCTTAGGGCCTTCAAGGTGTTCAGATCATTTCATTTCTCACTATGTGCGCCATGAAACATATACATGTCCTGTCCAATCTCTCCTTTGTTTCTTAACATCTTTCATTTATTTTTCTTAATCTCACTCCTCATATCTTTGAAAACAAAGGCTTGTCACACACACACACACCCCGTTTTCTTTCTGTAGTAATAGAAGTAAACGAAACAACAAAAAAAAAACCCAAAATATGGAATATTTATTTTACATTTGAAAATATTTATTCTATTTTCAGATATAATTCCTTTCTATGATTTTATTTGGAAAAATGAAGGAAACAGGTAGCCCTCAATTTAAAACTGTGATTGAGCCTGGCATTATGGTTATAGGTTGTTGTAGTCATTAAGCAGATCACCATGAGACCATGGGCAATTTTAATATCTTTTTTCCAGTGGTCATTAATAAAGGTGTGCCACTTGCAAAGTACCCAAAATATTATCGTGTGACTGCTGTGTATATGTGTGTGTGTGTGTGTGTGTGTGTTGTGTGTGTGTTGTGTGTGTGTGTATGTGTGTGTGTGTGTGTGTGTGTGCACGCGGGGGCGCATGGAGCTGTTGCAACTTCAAAATCAGGTCATAAATAGCTTCGGGGTGGTGGTAGTGGTGTTCATTGTAAATTTGAATGGTTGCTAAGCGACCGGTTGAAAGTTTAGGACTACCTGTTATTTGTTTGTTTGTACAATTTAGAGCAGTGTTTCTCAACCTTGGCTACTTGAAGATGTCTGGACTTCAACTCCCAGAATTCCCCAGCCAGCTGGCTGGGGAATTCTGGGAGTTGAAGTCCAGACATCTTCAAGTAGCCAAGGTTGAGAAACACTGATTTAGAGACTATTTGACTTCCAGTGCCTTCAGGAAGATTTACAATTTAAAAAATTAGAAAAATACAAAACACAAAAAGAAATTATGTGTGGCTCTGAAACAAATCCATCCAATGGGGCTCAGCTATCACTTGATTCTCATAATCTGGGGGAATGGCCAATTTTTTAAAGAGCTTCCTGATTTTACCATCAGGGTGGGAGAATATTTTGGATCCCTCTAGAAATATATTATTCTAGAAGGCAGGCACTGCTGACAATACTCCTTAATTGTTGGCGTCTAAAGTGTATCCAAATTGTGCTCAGTATTTTGGATTGTTTTTTATTCTATTTTCTTCCATAGTTTATATGGGACATATACATATAAATGTAGAACACAACCCTAGCCAGTCTTTTTTATTCTGGAAGAATCCTTAAAATAATGATCAGATTACTGGGAGCCCCTGTATAAAATCCCAAAACCTCATAACTTAATTTACTTCTAACCTTCATGATCCAAGTTTTACTAGATTTACTGCAACAGCAAAATGACAGGCTGGTAGATAAGTCTCAATCCATAAAGATTCTTTCTTACCATTGCAGGCAGTAGCAGTGTGCAACACATGCATTTCACATTTTTCCCCCAATCATGATCTGTCATGAAAACCTTTCTGACCTCTTATGTAAGCTCTTATGTGAGGATACTTGGGTTCCTTTTGGGCTCACGATCTACCTTTCTCCTTTCCTTTAAAATGTGCAACAAGAGAAAGAATCTTTTGGAAAGATTTGCCAATAGAATAGAATGGAATGGAATGGAATAGAATAGAATAGAATAGAATAACAGAATTGGAAGGGATCTTTAGGTCTTCCAATCCAACCCCCTGCTTAAGCAGGAAACCCTACACCACTTCAGGCAAATGGTTATCCAACATCTTCTTAAAAATCTCCACTGTTGAAGCATTCACAAATTCTGGAGGCAAGTGGTTCCACTGATTAATTGTCCTAACTGTCAGGAAATGTCTCCTTGGTTCTAAGTTGCTTCTCTCCTTGATTAGTTTCCACCCATTGCTTCTTGTTCCACCCTCAGGTGCTTTGGAGAATAGCTTGACTCCCTCTTCTTTGTGTTAGTTTTAATTAACCACAATTTGTGGATTCATCTAAATTGGCAACTATAGCTAACATTAACTATGGTTCATTTAAGGTAGCTAACTTAATAAGTCATGATTTAAAGTTGGCTTCTTTTAAAAGAAAGAATAATTTGCCATTTTGGACAAATCCCACAGTTAAGTAAAAGCAACACCTTCTATATTTCTACTCTCAGCAATGCAGGAGGAGGATAGAAAATGGAGGAAAGTAGGGTAGAAGGGAATGATGGAGGGAAGAAGGGAAGTTGGAGGGGGGCGAAAGAAAGGGTGTATGGAGGGTCGAAGAGGTACATTGGGTTTCTATTTTTGGGGGTATTGTCGACAAGAGGAATGGCTGTGTTTATTGTTTAATGTTATATGGCCCCGGTTATGCACAGTATATATGTGACTGTACGAAAATGAAATGGAAAATAAAAACACATTTACATGAAAAAAGAAGAAGAAAAGAAAATGGAGGAAAGCCATGAGAAGGATACTAGATTTGCACTTATATCAGCCTCTCAGAGCCTCAGCAGGCATGGCTGGTGATGTTGTCATCAGCAAGAAAGATGAATCTGGAAGTTATATCTTAATTTTCAGGTTTTGAAGAATGGAGAGATTCTTTTAACACATGGGAAAAAATTTCTCAGAGGTAAACATTTATAATTCAGTCTTCTGGAAGCTACAAATATGGCAATGTGGGCATATGTATTTATTGGCCTAGTTTAATATTATGTCCAAATCAGGAGTGAAATCCAGCAGGTTCTGACAGGTTCTTGAGAACTGGTAGCGGAAATTTTGAGTAGTTCAGACAACTGGCAAATGCCACCTCTGGCTGGCACCAGAGTGGGGTGGGAATGGAGATTTTGCAGTATTCTTCCCCTGCCATGCTCACCAAGCCACCCCATGCCCACCAAACCACGCCCACAGAATTGGTAGTAAAAAAAATGAATTTCACCACTGGTCCAAATGTATTCATTAACTTCCATATAAAAATGCAAGTTTGAGGCATTTGCCTATTTTCTTTTTCTTTTGTTACATTTCAAAGAAGATCTATAAACAGACATAGCCAAGGTAGAGGAATAAAATGCAAATTAATAAAAAGAAATGACTTATTAGTACTAGAAATGGTAAAAAAAATATTTCAGAGATCATTTATTATCAATTAATTATAAATAATCTACTAAAAATGAATACTGAGAACTATGATCAGTACAGTATCATTCACCAGGTAAACTTTTGTACTGTAGTAAATTCAATTCATGTCACTACAAATCTGTTCTAATTTAGATATAATGTAAAATTAAAATAGACTGTAGGCAGGGAAAATTCAAACTCTGGACGTGGTATGAATCTATGTCTTACGTTATAGTGGAGGAATGGTCTCCAATTTGAATTGAATGAGATTTTATTTTCTAATTTTTTAGATATAAAAATGAATGTGAATATCAGAAGAAGCAGAAGAGTACTCTCGAAGAGCTTAATAAGGTAAGTTCACTATATTAAATATAATATTCTTATCCTTTTCGTCAGAGGTCCTTCCATCAATGCTGCTTTTCATGTGATGTGATGAGTACTGACAGCCAATAGTAACACAGGGACAGACATGTTTAGTACTGTCACTTTTGCAATACTATCTGCACTTAGAACTGCTAGTTTTGTGTGAGAGGAATTACTTTTTCCAGCTTTAAAAATAGGGTGTTTTAAAAACTACATGTACATTTTTTTGAAAGTTTAAAGCTTAAAACACCACAGAATAAATATGTGTGCCAACTTATTTATATGCATGGAAAAAAGAGTGTGATTAAATTAGAGTATCAATCATATACTATATCTGAATTCCCTCCATCATCCAATAGTTGTCCTTTTGATCAAACCTGGTTTCCTTATTGTATCACTTATTTACCAGTGAAACCAGGTTTGTTTAAAAGGGCAACTTTTGGATGATGGAGGGAACTCAGATATAGTATATGATTGATACACTAATTTAATCACACACTGATTTATTGTATAAAGAGTTGTGTGGGTGGGTATCCTTTTAAGTCAATCCTAACTTTTAATGACTGCCTGGACATGTCTATATAGTTTCCTTGACAACATTTTTTCAACATGACTTCCCTTGACTTCTTCCCAAGAGTAAGAAAGAATGACGGGCCCAAAGTCATCAATGTGCCTTTGTGCTTAAAGAACAAATAAAGCTCATTGTCTCCCAGCTTCTAACCTTTAATCATCTATACCAAGTTAGTTCTCATACAGTATTTAAACAATCTATTTTAAAATTATTCCTCCCCCCTCCCTTTGGGAGAATGTTCTAGAATTAAAATTAGCTGTTTTACATTTCTGGACTTTTATGCTTTTCTTACATGCTGAAAAAAGTATTAGAATTATATCTTGTCTTTTCTCCAGGAGTTAAAGGTAATATACACAGCAATCTCTCTCATTTTCTTCCCATAATAACGATTCTATGGACTGAGTGAGAAAGATTAGTCCATTAGTGTAAACCTTTATTTTATATAGCTACAGTTTATATGTAACTTTTGATGGTGTAGCACAGTGGTGGGTTGCCAATTTTTTCACTACTGGTCTGGGCTAGCTCCCATGCGTGCTTGCACGTGCAATGCTTCTGTGCATGTGCAGAGGCATCTGGGAGGGTGGGCGGAGCCTCCTGACACCATACTACCGGTTCAGCTGAACCAGGCCGAACTGGGAGCAACCCACCCCTCATGTAGCATTACATCAGACTTGAGGTTGTAGATTTTTGATTTGGGCACGAACACTTATCAAACTCTGATACTATTATTTGTCACCTTGGAATCAAACACAAGGAAAAATATTCTGTTGATGTACAGTAATTCATCTGAATATTTCTTTTACAGTTTTAAGAACAAAATTTTAGGTGAAAGTTCTATTCACACGCTTGAGAATAAACCCTATTGAATTCAATGCAGTGGTGGGTTGCAGGTGGTACGCCCCAGTACAGGTGTACCGGAGTCTGCCCGGAGCACCGGATACCATTCTGGTACGGTGCTCTGGTGAGCCCACCCGCTTGCCTGAGCTCCTTACCATGTTTTAAAGCTTTCGGCACTTCCATGCACGTGCATGGCATGTACAGCGCCTGCACGACCCTTTGCCGAACAGCTGGAGTATCAACGAGGCTTGCGGAAGCATCATTTGTAGCTACAATGTATGCGCTTGCCACGTGCGTCCATATGGGCGATGCTGGGCCCGTTCCAACTCTACTGGTTGGAATGGGATCTGGAACCCACCACTGATTCAATGGTACTTATTTCAGAGCAGAACACTAATAAATTACTACTGTTAAATAGACAGTTCAACTGAAGAGTCTACTATAATTTTAGTCTGTCTTATTTCCTTTATGACACAGTGTGTGGGAGTGACAGAACTAAGGGGCGGAGTCAAAAGAGGAATCAGCCTAGAGTCTCTACATAGTCACAAAGGGATTAAGTCCAAACCCTCTTAAATTCCATTAACCCTTATCTAGTGGAGAAATAGTGCTAGCTATTAGTAGAGTAGATTCCTGCACATAGATATGAACAATAAATGAGTTTAATTGGAACATCATGTGTGGTCTGATCTTTCACTCCTGACACACATTCATAAGACATTTTCCCTATTTCCTTTTCTATTGTTCTTCTTTACCTCTTCATCTTTCTTTCTACCACCTCAACAAGTTCAGTTCAATTACACCTTTTTCAGTAATATCTTTTTCATCGGGGAGGGCGGGGGGAAGGGATGGAGGGGGAGGGGAGGGAGAAAGAGAGAGAAAGAGAGAGAGAGG